AAAAAAAAAAAAAAAAAAAAAAAAAAAAAAGAAAAGAAACGAATCAGATCATTATTACAAATGTATAGTAGTAGGGATGACGGAGGAGAAATACAGGGTGCTATGGAAGAGCATAACAGGGGACCCAAGCTGGGCGGGGATGAGGGGGAGAGGGGAGACATCTCTGAGACAGTGTGGCCCGAAGGACGGGGGGGCTCCATGGGGACAGTGCATGGTCGCCCTTCAAGGCGGACAGAACAGCAGAGGGAAGAGGCTGCAGGAGGAGGACGGCCGTCCCACTGCCCAGCGGTGCGTGCAGTCACTCACGTCCTCACCCGTTACTCATCGGAATACCCAAACAGGAGAAAGAAGAGAGGAGGGGTCAGGAGGACAGAATGATCCTCAGGCTGAACCCGGAGCCCCGATGTGGGTGGCAGGTGGTGCGCTTTAGGTGGGAGACGGGTGAGGATGGAGATGAGAAGGGGAAGGAGGCTTAGACCAGCACGGGGAGAGCAATGCAGGCGGAGGGGTTGAGTCAAGGAGAGGAAGGAATCAAGCCCTTGATGTGGGTCCCAGGCTCCAGCCCAGGAAGGCTGGGGCTTCTTTGTCCTCTGTGCCTCCCTAGGACCTAGTTCTAAGTGCGCAATTCCCTGCAATATGGACCATACACTCTGATTTCAAACCTCCTCAACTACACCTCACACCTACCCCAATACGCTCAGCCCATCAAGCCCTGTATTCCCAACTCAGGTTCAATGCGCCGTCCTAGACCCTGTAGGGAGCAGAGGACCAGCCAGCTCCATGACCTAGAAGCCCAGACGCCCAGGCCATCCACTACCTCCTTTCTTTTTCTTTTTTTTTCTTTTTTTTTTTTGCCAATTCGGAGCTTTGCCTGCTGTTTAAAAAACTCGAATCAAGAATTAGCTTTCAGGAGAAAGAAAAACAACACATGATACCACTTGTATATGGAATCTAAAATATGGCACAAGTGAACCTGTCTACGAAACAGAAACAGACTCACAGACGTAGAGAACAGACTTGTGGTTGCCAAGGGGGAGGGGGGATTGGGGAGGGAAGGAGTGGGAGTTTGGGGTTAGCAGATGCAAACTAGTATATACAGGATGGAGAAACAACAAGGTCCTACTGTAAAGCACAGGGAACTATATTCAGTATCCTGGGATAAACCATAACGGAAAAGAATATGAAAAAGAATGTATGTATATATATCAGTATAGTGTGTGTGTGTGTGTGTGTGTGTGTGCGTGTGCGTGTGCGCGCGCGCGCGCACGCGCGCATAACCGAATCACTGTGCTGTACAGCAGGATTTAACACAACATTGTAAATCAACTACACTTCAATTAAAAGAAAAATCTTTTTTAAGAATTAGCCTTCGGCAACACTGCTAGGTTAGGGGTCTAAAATCAAGTGAAGCCCCAAGGAAAAACGTTCAAAGAGACCCTCTTGCCGAGCAGGGGCAGGAAACCACATTCCAGGGACCCCCGGTAGTTTTGACAAACAAGTCAACGTGGCGCAAGGGGTCATGGCGGAGAAAACAGCACAGATCTGGGGGCTTTTCTGCTGACACTTCAAGAATCATGGATGAATTGGCAAGTCCAATCCTAAAGAAATCAGCATGCCTGAGGGTTATTTTCTGTCAAGCAAAAAGCCAACAGGATTCATGTGACTTTTCACTTAATAACTAATTAATAAATTAGCAAACTCTTCGCCTCTTTCCTATGATAAAGAGTTTGTTCGCTGATTTGTTAGTCTTTCAACTGGTTAATTAAGTGGTAGATGAACAGCACCATGTCCTCTTCAGAGTTAATCAGTCCCCAGCCGGCTGCCACCCGCTACCGTCCCCTGAGAACACTGTGCTTTCACTGCAAAAGCAGGGGTAGACCTTCCTCACCAGCCACAGACCGTCCACCTGTCATAGGGCACCGGGGCCCGAAGCCATCCAGGGAGCATATACGTGCTCAAACCCCCAGGTGGGAGAAGGGGCTTTGCGCTTTTCAAATCAACCATCTGAAAAAACAAAAACGAACAAACCAACCCAACAGTGTTTCTCAGAAAGCCCTAAAAAACTGGTCAGATGCAATCTCTGAAGCCCTAAGGGGCTGCTCTCAGAATGTGGGCCTTTAGCAGGTCGTGTGATCAAGCAGAAATGGATCTACTACATGGCTATACCTCCACCCTCCCAGCTGCCCTTCTGTCTAGAAAAGTCCAGCATGGTGGAGCGAGGGGCTGGGGGAATCCTTGCACATTCAAGGAAATGATGAGATCAGTTGTCCCAAGGTGGAGTCTATTCTTAATTCTGTGCAAGTAGACAGGTGTGCCGCACACGTTTTCCTGCCCACTTAGGCAAAGGCCATGGAAAATACCAAAGGACCTGTTGGAAATTGTTCCCCGGCCCTTGAAGAGTTTGCAGTCTTGGGACTTCCCTGGCAGTCCAGTGGTTAAGACTCCACGCTCCCAACACACGGGTTCAATCCCTGGTTGGGGAACTAAGATCCCCGCGTGCCGCGTGGCGCGGCCTAAAAAAGAGAGAGAGAGAGAGAGAGTTTGCAATCTTAGGAGAAAGATGCACCAGTGCACATGAGAGAGGCAGCGGGTGGGGTGACCGTGTGTGTGCACGTGTGTGTGTCTGGGCTTGCACCCCGCCACCTATGTACATGCACCCCAAGGTCAGTGTATGTCATCTGGGAGCTGACTGTGGTCTGTGCGAGAGCACAATCTACTCTCTGTGTTGATCTCTGATCTGACAGAGGCTGTAAACAAGCAGCTCTCACACAGAGACAGCTTGCTAGAGACCCACTGTGGTATGGCTCTGGGGTTTCTCTTTTTGTTATTTTCAATTAATGGTTGCTAACAGTTAGAGATCAGGAGATCCGCCAAGGGCCAGGTAGCTTGTCTTTCTTGAGAAATGGAAAGGCCTGACAAGCCAGGCCCCCGTTCCCACAAAGCAGCAGCAGGCGGCCTTAGATGGGACAGGGGCTCAAAATTCACCACAGCCCCACCACTCCCTACTGCCTCACAGTCAGCCTGCTTCCCGCTTCAGGTTACCTGGGCCCTGTAGATGCTGGACTCCTGTGTGTTATACTGAATACTGGCCCCCACGGATACTCAGGGTCTAATCCCTGGAATCTCTGAGTGTCCCCAAAGCGGACGTTGTAGATGCAATTAAGTTGAGGATCTTGGAATAGGGGGATTATCTTGGATCGTTCCCAGTAGACCCTAAACGTAATCACAAATGTCCTTATAAGAAGAAGGCAGGGGGAGATTTGACTACAGAAGAGGACAAGGCAAGCGAAACACAGAAGTGGAGATTCAAACGATGTGGCCAGGAGTTCCCTGGCGGTCCAGTGGTTGGGACTCCATGCTTCCACTGCCCAGGGTCCGGGTTCCATCCCTGGTCGGGGAACTAAGATCCCGCAAGCCCAGTGGTGCCGCCAAAAAAAAAAAAAGAATGATGTGGCCATAGCCAAGGAATGCCAACAGCCACCAGAAGCTGGAAGAGAAACGATCCTCCCTGGAGCCTCGAGAAGGAAACAGCCCTTCTGATAACCTTGATTTTAGCCCCATAAGACGCATTTCAGATGTCCAGCCTCCAGATCTGTAGGAGAATAAATTGCTATTGTTTTAGCCAGTAAGTTGGTGGTCAGTTTGTAACAGCAGCAATAGGAAACGAACATAGCCTGTTAACTAATGAACTCGACAAACACCTTGAATGCCCAGAAGACAGTGGATGGACCCTGCCCTCAGGGAGGTGATACGCTAGCAGGAGAGGACACCTGACAATGACGGGAGAGTGTGGTCTGAGCAGGGACCCTGGGAACGTACCCGAGGCACTTGTAACCCAGGCCTGGAGACCCCAGGACAGACAGTTTTCTAGCTTTATTTCCAGGAGACATGCACGCGCGCATCTTTGTCAGGCAGTGGCGCTCCGCCACGGTCTGAGCTGTGCTGGGGCCAGGGGACACAGGGGGGGCTCACCTCGCCCGCTGGATGAACTGGGTGGCCTTCTCGGCATACTTCTGTGCGAGGCCGCTCAAGTTCACGGGCTGCTCCACGATGCTGAGGTTCTCATAGAGAGGAAGGGCCACGTCAGAGTGACAGTCCTTCTCAGGGTTCCTGGGTGGAAATCACAGACGGTGGAGCGTTCATTCCCACGACCTAAGTAGTCACGGAGTCAAACAAAACGCTTTGATGCAGCGATGCCCATAAATACAAAACACTTAATAGCCTGGCCTCAAATGATTTTTCCAGTCTGCCATTTCCTCCAAGTGCAAAACCAATATAACACCTTTTTCTATTCCCTTTGAATAGACGTGTATACTCCTTGGACAAGCCTGGCCATTCTGTAAAGCTCACGACTTTTTTGAGCTAGGGATATGATTATACCCACTTTGCTGACAGAGAAACTGAGGTTAAACAAAGTACATTACACAGCAGAGTCCCAGAGGCAATCAGTAGCCCTGGTTTTTTTCCACCGGCCCCCTTAAGTCATGACTTCCGTCCACGGGGTACAACGCTTGGTATTTTCCCAAGTCAACAATCAGGACTTTGTGTGACAAGACGTCTGATGAGAGGACAGATGGCTAGGAACAACTTTGGAATTTCAAACCATGTTTGGAGAATTTGGAGAAACTTTAGCAATTGGAAAAAGTGGGGGTCAAACCTATTGTATCTCCTGGAAAAAAAACAAACTCAGCCCTTGGTCTTACAGATGGAAATGAATCTGACATACAAATGGCCCAGCAGAGCAGCTGAATCATGACCCCGGCTGTGATCTTGGGTGAGTTACCTAAGCTCCCAGAGCTTGACTTTCCTTATGGAAAGTGCGGGGTTGCCCGGGCCCCTTACAGGGATAAGGAACGGTTAGCATTCACACTGCTCGGCATACTAGGAATGCAATAAAAACTCAAGCCCTCTGTCCTGGGGGACACAGAGAACTGGAAGAGGAGCTGAGAACAACGGAGAGAAAAGGGTGGTCACGGGGGGCCTCTTGTGTAGGGAAACTGTCCTCCTGCTGCAGGGAAGAATTTGGGAAGAAAGGAAAGCCCCCGTCACACATCTATGTGCACACAGACTTGTGCCGGAAGCTTAAGAGACAAGGTCAGACTTGGGTAATCACCAAGGACCACGATTTTTTAAAAAGAGTAAAAGAGCGCTGTCCCGGGTGTCACAACCCTAACCTCATCATTCGTGTCCAGTCTTCCAGCTTTGGATGATCTTGTGGCTGCTCTATCATCCCTAGCCTTCTCCCCCTTTTCCTCCTTCAGCCATCACTTTTCTTCTATTTGATTTAACACAGACAGAACAGGGACCAGGCGGCTGTGGTCATCGCACGAGATGGCAGGGGTGCCACAGGTGTGAGCCCCAGGCGCCCGGCGGTGATGAGAGAGCAGTGGCACGTTCTTACGTGGTGACGTCGCTCCTCCCACTGCCAACAGGCTCTTGCATCTCCTGGGCATCTCGTGAAAAGGCAGACCTCTGGAAGGGGTCTGAACACCTGCATTTCTAGCAAGCGTCCAGACGATGCCTGCGCTGCTGGCCCAGCGACCACCCTCTGAGTAGTCAGGAGAGAGGGGACCTGGGCTCTAGTCTCAGAGACCCAGACGGGACCCTCCATCCTTCCCTGTCATGACTCCACTGTGACCTGGGCCACCAGGTAAGCTTCCTTCCCGGGACAGTCAGGAGAAACGCTTGCCTCACTCAGTGGTCCGGTGGGTCACAGATAAACACGCAGAGCGCTTAGAATGTAGCAATTTCTCAACAAATGGCCATTATGATACTAACTATTATTAATAAGCCACCTGAGACACGCTTTCCCCGGGCAGCTCAGACACCTGCAACATTATAAACAATCCCAGTACACCGTCTGAACAGCAGAGCACCTGGTCTGGGCTGCTTTATTACCTGAATAAGGTTTATTACCTTTTTGTGATAATAAACGTACTGCATGCTCATTACAGAATATTTGGAAAACACGAGAGAGGAAAAAACTGAAAACTCCTTAATGCCACAACCAGAGTGAATGAACCATGGTTACCATTTTGGCATATTTCCTTTAGGGCTATTAAAGGCATAAATACAGTGGTAGTTCAGGTCACAGTGTTGATGATTTGTTTCCTGCTTTTTTCACTTACTATTCTATTGTGAGCATTTTCCCATTTCACTGAATATGTTTTTAAAACATCCTGTTGAGTGCCTGCACGGCATTCCAATGTTGAAACGCTGGCTTATTTCAGGGCGGGGGTAGGGCTTATAGCGAGCCCGGTGGACTTTTTCTCTCTCTATCTCCCTCCTTATGTCCAGTGTCAGGGCCAGGCGAGTGGTCCAGGAGCAAAGCCAGCACGCAGAGGAGGGAGGCCACCTGCGTGAGACCTTGGGTCGCACCAGCCTCTCCCCAGCTGAGCTAAACAGTCCAAGGGACCTGGAAAATGCCAATTAAAAAAATGTTGTTCGCCTCATTTTCATGAAAAGTGTTCTTGCACTCCATGCAAATAATGCACTTAAATTTTTTGCACTAAAGGTACTCGATCTTTTTGTTTTGGCTGCGCTGGGTCTTCGTTGCTGCGCGCGGCCTTTCTCTAGTTGCGGCGAGCGGGGGCTGCTCTTCGCTGTGGTGCGCGGGCTTCTCATTGCGGTGGCTTCTCTTGTTGTGGAGCACGGGCTCTAGGTGCGCGGGCTTCAGTAGTCGCAGCATGCGGGCTCAGTAGATTCGACACGAGGGCCCTAGAGCACAGGGGCTTCAGTAGTTGTGGCCCATGGGCTTAGTTGCTCCGCGGCATGTGGGATCTTCCCAGACCAGGGCTAGAACCCCTGTCCCCTGCATTGGCAGGCGGATTCTTAACCACTGCGCCACCAGGGAAGTCCCAGGTCCTCGATCCCTTTTTGCTATTGTAACTGTTCCTCGTGGGCCTCTCTCATTTCCTTCTGTTGGACCCACATCCCCGGGACTTCACCTTGCTCTGGAGCCCAGAGCCGATGCCTTGGCTAGGATTACCTTGACGGTCTACCGCCCCGTGGACATGCCGGGCAAGGGGGGTGGTTGTAGCCGGGGGTATCAGTGCAGCCCATGTCATGGCTGTACGGGATTCCAAAGTAGTAATCAAACCCTGGAAGAGAAGGAACGGGTTAGGCTATGAGCCTGCATTCTTACACCCAGGACAGAAATTTAATTTTCCATGATTTAATTCTGCAGTGTTATGGAGTAAGTAATTAAAAGAGGATTTGATTAATATCCCTTTGTAGTATGCAAAGAAAACACTTTGTTGGGTTCTGGCTGCAAGACTAGATTTGCAAAACATCTTGTGATTAGCATTAACCCTGCGTGGAAGGAAGTGGGGAGAATGTCTTGAACACCTCCTGTTCCCAGTGCGATGATGGACACCGCTGGGAAATATCTGGTGAAAATCTACTACCTGCATGACACTCTGGGGGATAAAAGAATGTACTCTGCCCTCAAGAGGGGGAGGATAAGAAGTAGAGATTTAGCTCTAAGAGATGGATTGTCAGCAAGCCGCCCACAGGAGGGATCAGAGGATGAAGTTACCCCTGGATGCTGGGGGTGGGATGTGGTTGAGACAAGAATCTCAAAACGCTTCTCAGAAGAGTTGGCATTTCAGCTGGACGCAGAGGGCTGGCAGGATTGGGCTTGAGAGGGTGGAGGGGTATTGGAGGGAGGATGTGAGGGTCAAACTGAGACCTGAAAGCCCTGTGTTGACTTTTTTCTGAGACCCTCCCGTATCCCATCTCTTCTCCAGCACAAGCTTTAGCGTGAAGTTTCCCACAGAATTCCCTACTCCCCCCCGGAGCCCCTGCTTCAGTGAACCCAACAAACGATTTTTACTTCTTACCACGCGGGGCCTCATGGGGGCCAAGTGTTCCCAGACACGTGAAGGACTGGGTCGAGGAGAACACTGATGGACTCACGACGGGGGAGCCCGAAGGGTAGACAGGCACCAAAGAGGGGGGACAGGAAAGGTGCCGGGCAAGAGGGATGTGCAAACAGAGGCAACCCTGGCACCTCAAACCCACCCAAGTGAGCCTGTGAACGAAGGTGTCCTGACTCAGGAGACAGGTCCCTCAGGGGCAGGATGGCTTAAACATTTATAGAGTCCTTTTACACAGAGACCTTTATTTTCTGTTTCCCAGGTAACCAATCCTCCAAAGAATTCTTACCACGGAAGTTGGGGTGATGAGAGCCATGGTGTCCAAGATGCCACTTGCCTGGAGGAAAACGAGAGAGACAGACTTTGAGAGGAATCCCCATGGGGGCTCCCAGCCCCTTGGTGGAGCTGATCACACACTCAGACCTCTCCACCAGCTTTGCCCTTTCCTGAGCACAAGCAAAGAGAGGCTCACATGCTGTGTGACAGCCAAGCCTCGTTCTCTGGGACGGAGAGGGAGTCCCCAGGGAGACAGAAAGCAAGCAAGGATGACTCATGACCCAGGCAGGAAAGCGTGCGGGGGGTGGTGGGGGGGAAGACGAGCCATTACCGGGAGCCCAGAGAAGTTAGCAGGCTGAGCTCCTGCCCCCCAAAGAGGGTGCAGCGCTCACGGAAACACCCCCCCACCCCGCCAGGGCCCACCGCATCCGCTCGGCCCTCCTTCCCCGGGGCCCTGCAAAGGACCCAAGGAGCAGGTGCACGGCCCAGGCAGTCCCAGAGATGCAGCTCCCGCCTGCTTTCATCATCCTCTGTAGAAGCTGAGCGGGGCGCCGCCTCCCTGCGCTGCCCGAGCCAGGCCAGCAACCAGGAAGCAGAGCCGCAGGGCTGCTCCTGGCGCTGTAAGCGCGAGGCGAGGCTGGGACCCTCTGACCTGCTCATTCTCTGCTCTCCGGGTAAAGATCCCACAGGGAAGTCACCCACGAGGCAAGGGGAAGAATCAAAAACGCGGGGCAAAGACCAGAACGGCGGCAGCGTGAAACACGCCAAGGACGGAAAGCAACAGGGAACCACAGGAGTCTGACTCAGTAAATTCTCTCTCGTGGCCTCAGTACAATACTTCCAAACCATCTTTTCAAGACAAACGCCCGTGGCCGAAACGAACAACGGTGAATCGAGGTGAAGGGTATATGGGGGTCCAGGAGTCCCTTCTTGCAACTCGTCTATAGGTTTGAAAACAAATGTCATAAAAAGTTGAGGGAAGTGGATTAAGCGTTATGTGCAATGCTTAGATTCGGCATGACGTGGAAATATAAAATTATAGTACAATTTTAAAATTGCTTCTAAAATTATAATAAGCGTGTAAAATTATATCACCAGGAAATAGAAAATAATAGGAGGGGGAGAAAAGTAGGGCCGAGTGATAACATGTACAGCTAGGGACAAACACAGTAACACAGAGCAAGATGAGAAGCAAACAGTGAGTGGTGTCAATGGACTCGGTGTTGCTTCAGCAGGCTTTTCATTTTCCCAGTAAGCGTGCTGCTAGGAAATTCACGATCTCAACAAGGAGATACGCTTCAGTATCCTCTCCCAGAAAAGCAAAAGGTGTAATGAGTGGTGAACAGTCGATCTGTAACCAGTTGCCTTCTTGGGATTTAAAGGCATGAAGGAGGAGGGGCAAGTGAGATCGAGCCCAGCTCGAGAAGAATCCAGCGCCCCTGATGCTGCATGAAGTGTTAGGGTCAGAGAGCCCAGGGACCAAAGCCCTCCCGCCCCCCGGGCTGGGAGCCTTACATGGATGCAGGGACAGGGCGGGTGAGGATGCTCGGCCCATAGTGAGAACCCCAGAATAGTTCGTACCTCCGAGTATGGAGAGAAAGGGGTGAAAAGGAGAGCCGGTTGGGACCCTGACGGTCTCGTCCTCCCAGGACAATAAAGGCCACACTGCAGTCTGACCTTCTGCAAAGTGTGTCAGGCTCCTTGACCCAGAGGAGGAGCCAGGCCGACACCCCAGAAATGCCAGCTTCCTGCAGGTTAACGGGGAGCCCGGGGCCCCGAGGACATCCCCACAGGGACCCTCGTTGCCACTTCACGTGGTGGAGGGAGGAGGGAACCCCGCCGGACCCAGCTCTTGGAGAGCCAGGATCCCAAGCACAGGCAGCCTGAGGATGCCGTTGGGATGCTGGGCTGTCTCGGCCTCTGTAGGGGGCACCAGGGGAAACTAGTTCCATACATAGTCTAGTCCCCTGGCCGGTCGTTTCAGCTGCTTAGAGCTGAAAGCATTCCCCACTTCCACAGCAAGAAATGAGCAGAAAAGCGGACACGAGCAGGAGAGGCGGCAGCTCTGCAGACACAAAGCAGCCACCACAGCAAATGCAGGGGGGACGGGGGTCCGGGCGGTGGAGGCCACGTTACCAATCAACCCGGTGACGTAGCCAGCCCGCTGCAGCACTTCGGCCAAGGTGGTCTCGTTGAGTGGAAGGCCCCCCACAGAGGTGACCGCAAAGTTGTGAGAGACTCCATTGCGGAGGCCAAGCCGGCCGGTGAGCAGGGCGGCCCGGGAGGGCGAGCAGGTGGACGCAGCCGCGTGGAAGTCCACAAACCTGCGCGGAGAGGACAGCGATGGGGGTGGACCCGACCACAGAAAGCCGAGCCCAGGGAGATTCAATTCCTGGGATTCCAGCGCTGGGAAAAAGCTCCAGGATGAGCCAGTCGTGGGACAGGTAAAGAAAATGAAGCCCAGAGACGCGTTATGCGACGAACCCAAGGTCACACAGCTAATTTGAAGGGATTTAATCCAACGTATTGAACGGATCCCCTCTATTTGCAGATTCCACATTTTATATTCACCTTCTCATTTAATGCATCTGTAACCCCAGAAATCAACACTCGCGGCTCTGAAGGGATAGTTCATGGATATACGCAGACCTGTGAAAATTTGCACATTTCCAGCTGAGGTTGGACAAGGTGACCTTGTTTGGGCTCTCACAGATTCAGTGTTCACAGGGACGTTATAGAACACCACCACTGCTGACACAAGAGCTGACTATCTATTACTCCTTACTGTAAGCCCAGCCCTTTTTCAGACACTATGGAGAAACAGAGGAGTCTAGCCATTTTCTTACCCTCAAGGAACGTGAGTAAATTGAATGTCACTAATGAAGGGGCAAAACCTGACTTCATGTGTCTCCTGATGGGATGCAATATGAATTCATAACACCAAGGATTCTTACCTAAAACATTTAACCTGAATCTAGTCAGACCCCTGGACCTAACTTCCACATTACAGGAAAAAAAAAGCTAATGCGAGACCAAATTAAATGACCCCACAAGAAAAAACGTTACCAAACCATTCTCTAGACGTTCGATAAGACAACCAGTCCCATCTCTTCAAACAGTCAACATCTGAGGGAACGATGGGATGGACGGGGCGATACTGTGCATAAGGAAAGACTGAAGAGATAGAACCAAGTGCAATACATGAATCTTACTGGATCCCAGTTCAACAGAGCTGGCAACACATCTGAGGGCTAATTAGGGAGGGAAATTTAATATGAACTGGATATAAAATGATATTAGGGGATTATCGCTTATTTTCAGGATTATGGTCATGTGGGAGAATGTTTCTATTCTTTATCTTCTGGTTTTAGTGAGATATAATTGACACATAACCTTGTACTAGTTTCAGGGGTACAACATCATAATTTGATATAAGTGCATATTATGAAATGATCACCACAGTAAAGTTTAGTTAACATCCGTCACCTCCCACAGTCACAAACTTTTTTCCTGTGCTGAGAACTTTTAAGATCTCTTCTCTTAGCGACTTTCAAATACACGAGACGGCATTGTCGACGCTCGTCCCTATGCTGTGCATTACGTCTCATGACTTACACCCAGAAGTCATCACCACCTTCACCCATTCTTCCTCGCCTCCGAAACCATCCTCCACACTGATGCAAATGTCCTTCCACAGCGGGAATCGGATCACACCAGTCTCTTACTGGAAAACACAGTCTCTCTCTGCCTGCTTCTCGGAGCTCAGCCGCTGCCCCCCTCCTGCCCTGAGCGGCTTCCTCACATCCTCCCAAGCCCCCACTTACTCCCGTCCACTGTGCCTTTGGCCATGCTCTTCCCCCACTCCCCAAGCCCTCCCCCTAGTGTCCCACCTTATCTTGACTGACCAGTCCCAGTCGTCTTCAAGACCCCGCTCAAAGACTCAGATGTTACCCCCCAGGTCACCCTCCCTGCCTCTCCCCTCCCCCCACCCCCC